ATGTATGTATAAGCATCTCGGCTCCACGATGCTGGCCTGGAGGGCCAAAGAGATGAACGAAGGCCACAAAGTGGCCAAATCTGGGGTGAGGAATCTGTGGATTTTGGGTGTGTGTGTGTGTGGGTGTGTGAGCTGGGCGTCGAAACACAGGGCCTTGACGCAACAGCTACGAAGCCCCCCTGAGCCATGGTCAGCCAAAGCTGCAAAACTCTCCTGCCCTTTCACGGCTGGAACAAAATACCACGATTTTGGTACGAACCAGATCCGCTCGGCGACTTCGTCAAGAAATGGCTGCTACAGGAACTTTTCCTGGAGTGGCTGCCGCAGAGTGTCAGACTCCAGTTGCTGTTCAGACACCGATGTGAATGCAGATGGGCCATGGACTCAGCATGCTTCATGGTGTACGAAGGGTGGGCTCTCCTTCGAGCCCCAGCACATTTCCGTATACTTCGAGAATTGTCTTGGTTCGACATGGAGTTCACTCTCTCTGTTCTTCGGCTTGTCTGCGAGCGGTGCAATCCTGAATTGGTGGAACTCGACTAAACGACTAAGCTGGATGGGCAGGGACATACAGCGAGGCTTCCAAGGTGCCTGGAGGCATTGGACCAGAGGGGGTCAATGGCTCAAACGATGTCTTAGAGGCGCTCTTCGCATGCAACAAGCCCACTATGCGACCAGCCGAGCCACCATTCTCGAGGCGCTGTGGCTTCTTGTGCTACCGGGAATGGCGGTCATTGCACTCATGAGCTTTAGTGTCTATCTGATTGGCACGATTAATCTCCAGGCGACTTCAGGCAGACATCTTCGATCAACCATGCCCCACAAGACGGCCGTCGCGTGCCCCATGCATAATTGCAACCTACTTAATGCGTTGGTCATCAGCTTGCTGCAGCTCAAGCGGATGTGGCAAGTATATAGAGACATGACTCACTTGACCCCTCCCACGCGGGCTCAAACTCAGCAGCTGTCCACAATTGGAAGGATGGACTATGCCGACAAGGATGGAGATTCACCGGTGCCGGATCCCCTCATCTCAGAGGGCTCCACTGCATCGGAGCACCCTGGCTCTCCGCCCAAAGGCCCACCCCCGCCACGGCCGATCACGGACTTAAGAGACGTCTCGCTCCACATCTCTTCGGCAGTCGGTGAGGTGATTCAGTCCATGGGCGGCGCCAACCTCCGCGAGGTGCTCACCCACCCAGGCTGGAACTGGAGCGACCAAGAAGGCATCGTTCTTGAACTACGGCCGATGCGACCATCCGACCGATTCCATCCCCACCTTCTGTGGGTCGGCGAGGACACCCCACCGAGCGGAGTCTATAATCAGCGAGGAGTCAGTCCACCGTCCACACCGGTTGAGCCCTTGGCGGACACTCATGACGATGCACCCCGCGCCACGGAGTCTGAGCTGAACGAGGCCATGGATGTCCTGGCCGCAGAAGGATCTCTACGCGACCTCAACCAGATCGACGAGATGGCAGAAGCACATTCCGGCCCCTCGACCACCCCGGCAACCATGGAGGCTGCACCAACTACAGGACCAATCCCCTCTTCGGCATCCCCCTCAGGACCACCAGCGCCGACACCTGCAGGAATGACACAGAGCTCCACGCCTGCAGCGAAACCCCGTATCAACCGCAAGCGCGGCCCTCATTCTCTGCAGAAGCAACAGACCCGCACCACAGCCAAACAAACCAGTCTATCATCCCCTGACCCAGGCGAGGACGGAACGACTGACAGGCTGTACATGAGCCAAGCAGGCTGTAGAGATCAGTTGTCACCCTCGGGCGTAGGACGACCGACAGCAATCTTTCTTCCAGTTTGCACACATCTGATCATGACAGTGCTCTCAAGATGCATGGGGCCCTGGACATCAATGAAGCCCCGCACGGTACTGAGCCTGCAGACGTCGGAAAACAAGACGGCAGACCACCTTGCCTCCGCATGGACACTGCATGATCGTGCAGCACAAACAGCGCCTACCACATGCATGGCCAGGTACAGATCGACCAGATTGCTGACTTTGTGGTCGGTGGCTTACGCAACATTCATCACATCGTCCTTTGCAGTCACTCAGCTGCTCATGGCTTTCCTCTGCAGGTATATGGTCACCCTTGGACAGGGCCTCCTGCAAGTCCGGGGCTGGAGACTCAAACAGACAGGGATCACCCCACCACTGATGCCATGGCCCAGACAAGATCACCCTGATGGCAGGCGCGATCTACCTGGTCCGAGCACTCCATTTCGGAGCCGTCCGGGTCCCAAGTCCCGGAGTTGCAGTACA